ATGTCGTATATATGTATATATATATATATATATATATATATATATATACATACGGTTTGGTCTTAGATGATCCATTTTTCCAAAATTTTAGATCGAAATATCTAGATATTTTTTTCTTAAACAAAATTTCGTTCTAATTTTCATAAAACTGTGTATCTAGAATTTTTGGGTAGTTTCCCCTCATCGTAGACTACGCTCGGTTTTGCACATTTTCTCTTTTCTGTAGCGTGTTATTTTCTAGTTTTTTTCTTTTATTTTCTTATTTTTATAGATTTGTTGACAATTTTACTGAAAAAAAAAATCATATAGAAGTGCATAACCTTTGATACTTTTAATTCAGTTGATCGCTTTTTAAAGTTGTCATTACTTTTTCTCAAAATTCGTAGGTAGTTTCATTCGTTCGTTTTCTGTATCCCGGATTTATGGGATTTTTATTTTATGTGCACGACATATGGAATGGTTATTTTGTGTTCCAGACTTGTGGGAAAGTTTTCGATGTCGAATTTATGGGCAGATTTTATGAATGCCGGATTTATGACATGCATTTCTAGAGATGATTCCGAATTCATGTTTTTTTTCATGGTCACCTCATCCGAAGTTAATGAGCACATTGATTGCCTATACCCGCTCTTCATAATAAGGAATAATCAGTGACCCTTACTGGAAATCAGTTACCAAACTTTCTAGAAAGAGAAAGGGAAATGCGTCGTTATATGATTAAAAACATTAACTACCCTTCTTTTTTTTTCTTTTCTTTACGGCTTTTAAAATCCGTGTTTGGACATAGGCCTTCCCCAGACTTGCCCACGTCCCGTCTCCAGCCTTCCGGCACCAGTACTTCTGGAACTTGAAGTCATCTCTCGAGCGGGTTTTCTGTCGCTCTCGATCTCTAGTATGTCCTCGTGGGGTCTTGTGTGTTATGCGAGCCGTCCATTTCTTTCCTCTCTTCGATGCAAACCATATCTCAGCGAGGTGGCGCAGATTGGGGGAGACCTATGTCCAATAACGGGTTTTAGAAGGTTGAAAGATAAGGCTACCCTTCATGTGTTGATTAGAGTGTCAGTAGTGAAATGCTTTAAAAGTATGGAGAGGGGGAAGGATCGTGATGGGTTATTAAATGATTTAAGGATATTACCTTTAGACAAAAATGTGCGTTACATGAAAATCTAATTCGTGTGAAGAGAAAACCATATTTTCATGGACGTTTTTCACATTTTTGTTAATTATAATTATTACCATTATCAGCATCACTATTTTTTAAAAGTTATTTCCTGTTATTATTGGCATCATCATTATCATTATCATCATAATTGTTGTTGTTACCATCGTCATTATTATAATCCTTGTCATATCATTATG